AGCTAGGTTAAAGTTTACAATATATTGGTCAGGTTACAATGAGTATTTAACAATGCCATAGTTTACGCCAGAAGAAAAAGATTGATTTGTTGGAAAAGGTCTACAAGAGGCATTACATTGATCTTTAAGGGGAACAGATTGAGCAACAAAGAGGAGGAAAAATAGTTGACAACAAAGGTGGGATGTAGGGGTGGTTGGGAGACAGGGTGTTTTCTTTTTGAAGTGAGTACTGATTGTTAAATAAATGTAAATTTAAAACCAAGAATTGGCAAGTTGTTCGCCATCCATTGATCATAGAATCCCCAGTGTGGAAGCAGGCTATTCAGCCCATTGAGTCCACACCCAGACCCACACCCCTATCCCTGTAACTCTGCATTTCCCATGGCCAACCCACCTAACCTGCACATCTTTGGTTTGTGGGAGGAAACCAGAGCACTGAGTGCAAATGCTGCACAGTCACCCGAAGCTAGACTCAAACCTGGGTCCCTGGCGCTATGAGCCAGCAATGCTAACCACTGAGCCACCATGCCATCTGTAATGCATGATCCAATGCATTATTTGAGTAGAAACTTAAAAAACGATACAACAGTTCCAACGGCTGAATTGTGTAAAAGATGATTAACACACTCACAGGGTTTGGTATTTGTTTTCTGTTTTAATCTTTTAATTTGTAATGTTCTATTTATGAGCAAGCAAGAATTGACAACTCCCTCATGACTTGAGGTCAAATACAAATCTTATATTTATTCTCTATTCAAAAATTGTTAAGGTATGTATTAGTCAGATAAGCATAACTAGAGCATTATCACTTCTTAGCAATCATCTATTAATGTTTTAATTCTTGGAATTTTTGCCAGTTATATAGAGTTCCCAATCTTTTTCAAAGTAATTTAGTTAATCAACTGTGCAAACTAGTACAAGTCAATGATGAATACACATATCATTCAAATGTTGATCCACAGAGAACTGACAGCAAAATTAAAATTTCTCTATTTGTTTTCCAATAAAATGAACGAACATCTCGATATCTACCAAACTCAAATAGGGAACATTCAGAAATGATAAAGTTTATGCACTAAGGACACTGAAGCTTCCATATCTAGAAAGCTGGACTATGCCTAACTGAAAGATAAGATACTGTTCCTCCCATTCATCCAAGGTCTCAAACGTTCCTTCCAGGGCCTCAAACATTCCTTTCTGGTGACATAAAATTTACTTGCAGGTCAATTTATTACGATGTTCACTGTTTATGATGCGGTCCCCTCTATAACAAGGAGCGTTATTTGGCAATACTTTAGTTCAGTCCATAAGTGTGACCCTGAGCTTCTGGATTGTTTACTACTGAAATTTGCTATCTTCCTCTGCAGTTTCCCTGGCATCTACAATGTTTGAATGAAGTTTAATGTAAAATTGAGGAATAGCACATCAGCTTTTCACATAAGTGCTTTGCAACCTTCCAGACTCAACACTGACTTGAACAATTTCAGACATGAAACCACCAAACACATTGTCGGTCATGATTCCATTTCCCATTTACACCAAATCAAGACAATTTCGGTTTAATTGCTGTTACAATCTGCTTTTTCCACACACTATTATCCCTCATCATTGCTTTCATACCTTCCACGGTGTTTTTTTCATCACCTCCTGCCTATTCTCTGCTTCTGGAGCTTAAAACCCATTACATATCCATTTTCTTTTACAATTCTGAAGATAATCAATCTGAAACAACTTTCTGACTTCAGTGAGCCTACCAGACTTGATTATTTACAGCAGTTTGTATTTATTCTAGACTTCATGTACTTATTATAGACTTCAAACATCCACAGTAGCTTACTTGTGTGAAAGTACTTTTCTTTCTTTTCTGCATATAAACTATGTTGAGGGTCTCAAAATACAGAAAATTAACAGGAAACACTTTTGTTCTGAAATACTGGTTAACAAGTTACCTGCAGTCAATAATACAAACAACGGCTCACTTCACATGACTTCACCCAGCATCAACATTCGGGCACTATTTGCCTAACTTGATGAAGCTATCTAACAGTGCTGTCAAGCAACCATAAGCCTGGAATTTCCTCTCAGATTTCTACGTATAAATTGAGTTGCGCTTTTTGCCTAAGAATATTCTCGTATAACAGAGGACATGTACATTTCTATCCCGCTTTGCACCACGCCCAAGTTATGTCCACTAGAATCTCACTTTATCAATTATAGCTCCGTTACTCCAATGTGAATGACCAGACAACACTCATTTCCTGCACTTACCCCAATTCTGAATTAGTATCAATTCACACCCAAAATTTCAGCTGCAATAATATTCAATCATTTTTATATTTCTTGTTGGGAGACCCACACTACTTTTATTTTCAAACCTTAACTCCCATAAATGAAAGTGATAAAGAATGAAAATAATCAATGTTTAACGTTTTTCTCATCCTCAAATTGTTTACATTGATTTCCACTTAGGAAATGGCTGGTCTTACATTCCAACATATGCAATAATTTTCAGGCAATACAGGTACAAGTTCCCAAGAATAAGATGGAACCGATGTAAGCGCCATCTAGAATATCCTTGTTCAAGGTTCTTCACACCCATCCTCTCCTGGTGACAAATACTGGCTTCCATTCAGCAGGGCAGAAAACTGGGAGGTTTTGATCAATTACAGCCCTTCTTTTGGAATGAACATTACCCAAAGATAACAGTCACATGTTTTTAAAGATTAGAAACCTGATGCTGTAGTTTGTGGAGACATTATAGAGACACTTTAATGTGCTCTAAGGATGTTGACCTTTACATAACTCTGCATGGAACAAAAATAAAGCTAAACAAAGTAACTTCTTCATGGCATGATAAAGACTCTTATAAACTGAAGCATTATTTAAAAACTGCGCAATTTAATGAGAGTTGAGTACACTGTGATACATGGGTCACTCACATAAAAGCCACAATTTAGCAGGCCAGCGTTGCAGTCTGTTGGCGTAGTAACCAAATAGAGGGGTAGAACACAGGTTTGTGTCATGATTAGTCGCACGATGAATATCCCCGAATCTTTGATAATCCTCTGGCCAAGGTAGAACCCAGTAATATTAGTAAGCTGCTTTAACAATTATTGGGATGACATTATCTCTCATACTCTATTCTATAGGAGAATCATTTCACTTCTAATTCTAAAATGTTCTAAGAAACATCTCACTCCAGTCCCTAAACAGGGTCTTTGTCTGAAAAACTACTATTCCAGAAAGAACCACATGGTCTTAAGAAAAGAACTCGATAACTCACGCCAAACAGACTTGCCCGTTGGACCAAATCTGTTGCATAGCAACCTTTTTGAGAATTAACAAGCTAGGAATTGGAGCTAGGCAACATATTAGTATTCCATTTACATCTGGTGAACATTGCAACATTAGAGCTTAGTATTAACGAAAGGACAAAAAGAGAAATCAAACTCAGTAGTTTATACCAGCATATATTTCAATGCATTAAGTATACACAGTTCACCCTAATTTCTGTATTCTAACACAATGTCTACACGTAATGTTGAGGAAGTTACAACACATTTGGCATCAAACAAATAGAACAGTGGTATGACATTCAGACAAAGCACTAGCATAGACACATCAGCTCTTGTGCTAAAATATTACACCAGGCAGCATTAGGAAACCAAAAATAAAGCAGAATTAAAAAATAAACAAACTTTCACGTTTATGTACAAATCAGTGCCCCTCAGACACTCTCAAAGGATGTGCCTAACAGCAGAACATAAACCATTATAAATAGATAATATAAGGTGCAAAGGCCTCCATTCTACAGACTCCCCACTAGAAACCCAGCTTATGTTAAAAACTACATTGAATTCAGCTTGTCCGTGGAGCTGTGTTCCTTTGCTTATTTACCAACTTTTTGATTCCAAAACAGACAAATTGATATCAAAAAGAGTATACAGAAGATGCAAAATCAAAAATTATTTCAAGTTAATGGTTAGTTTTCTTTTATTTCAAGTGGAAAGAGCTTGTTTTCCTGGTATCTAAATTTGACCTTTAGTTGTGCAAGTCTCAAACGAGACAGTAGAATGGAGTGTCCACTTGTCTCAAGAGAACAGAATAGAGCCAAAACTACTGTAGCACAGGTCTGGCGAGTGTTAAACATCAGCAGTATAAAGACCACTCTAAAGGTAAAAGCTGTTGCTTATGGATTTTCTTTTTTTTGGGAGCTGTTAACCATGTTAATCCACAGATTGTATATGCAAGAACACACATTCTGGTCCCCTAGTATATATCAGAAGTGAGCACATTTTGACCAGGATTGGTATTTATTTTTTTCCTCATTGACCCAGATGACTTTCTTATGAAGTCTCTTTTCCCTGTACACCAGTTGCTGTTTTAATGGAGCTTATTGTTCGGTTGAACCAGGTTTTCTTTGCTGCTTGAACTTCATTTAATGCTAGACCCAAATGATGCTCCAGATCCTGAAAAAGAATCCAAAGAAACTAATTGTCCTTGTAGGTTAATTTTGCATTTTGTTACAGAAGTAGTTTAGAGAATTTTACATTTAGGGTCCATTGGAAACTTCAATAAGTAATAACCTGTATTTATATAATGCTTTTAAAAAATTTATTCTTTCGTCGAATGCAGATATAACTGGTTAGGCCAGCATCTATTGCCTATCTCCAAGTACAGCTTTCCTGAAATGCTACAGTCCCATATGGTCTAGGTACACCTACTGTGTTTCAGAATTCCACGTTTTTAACCCAGCAACAGTGAAGGAACAGCGATATGGTTCCAAGTCAGAATGGTGAGAGACGTGCAGGGTACCTTGCAGGTGACGGTGTAACTGCGCTGGTCATTCTAGGTGGTGGTGGTCATGGGTTTGAAGATGCTATCGAAGCATTGATGCTGCATTGCATTATGTAGATGGTATACGCCACTGCCATTGTGCATTGGTGAAGGGAGTGAGCATTAAAGGTCGAGGACAGCAGGGCAGACAAGTAGTATCAAGCCCATGTTTCCCCTGCAAGACTCACTCCCCCCCATCACCAATGGTCAATAGTGCACATTGCTGCTATCTACAAAATGGACTGCAGAAATTCACTAAAGAATCTGAGACAGCACCTTCAAAACCAACAACTACTTCCATCTAGAAGGACAAGGGGAGCAGATACCCAGGACACCACCACCTGCTAGCTCCCCTCCAAGCCCCTCACTATCCTCACTTAGAAATATAATCACTGTTTCTTCACTGTCACTGGGTCAAAATCCTGGAATTCCCTCCCCAAGGTCATTGTGGATCAACCTACAGCATATGCACTGCATTAGTTCAAGGAGGCAGCTCACCACCACGTTCTCAAGGGACAGGCAATAAATGTTGGCCTGCCAGCAATCCCACATTTCATGAGTGAATAAAAAAAAAAATCAGGAAGTAGCTGCTCCAAGGTCATTGGGTCAAATTGCCTTATCTTAACTGCCCCTTTCCTTGTTGGGCTTACAAATACTGTAAAGTTCTCTTGAAAGCAATTTTAGAATTTTGCCCCCTCCCATCTAGTACACAATGTCCCATGAATACTTGAGTTGTTAAAACCCTTCATTACTGCATTATTCATACACTTCTCTGAAATGTACTTACATATACGATCTGCTACCTCTCGCTGACTGTTTGTAGCCTATAGGACACACCCAACAGCATTTTTGCTCGTTTCGTATTATTGCCTTTTGTTCATAAAGCCTTATTTGAGGATGAGGTTGTTGACTTGCTCGCCGAGCTGGCTCATTTTCGTTCAGACATTTTGTCACCATGCTAGGTGACATCATCAGTGGAGCTTCCGATGAAGTGATTTTATTTTACTCTGCTTAGAACTTATACTGTCTGGTCCATTATGGTTAGTACTATCATTTCTGGTTTCAATCTGTATGGGTTGTATATGGGGTCCAATTCTATGTTTGTTGATTGCATTACGGGTGGAGAACCATGCCTCTAGGAATTCCTGTGCGTGCCTATGTTTGGCTCAGATTATTATGGTTACCTTGTCCCAGTTAAACCGATGGCCTTCATTGGCTGAATGTACCGATATTAAGGAGAGTTCGTCGTGCCGTTTTGCTGCTGGTTGATGTTCATGTATTCTGATGGCTAGTTTCCTTCCTGTCTGTCTGATGTAATGTTTGTGGTAGTCGGTGAATGGTATTTTGTAAACCACGTTCGTTCTGCATGTTGTGGGAATGGGGTCTTTAATCCTTGAGTATTTGTCATCGAGTGGCTGTGGGCTTGTGTGCCACCATGATTCCTAGTGGTCTTAGGAGCAAACATAGACACGCACGAGAATTCCTAGAGGCATGGTTCTCCACGCATAATGCAATCAATAAAACACAAAGAATTGAACCCCATATACAAACCCATACAGATCAAAACAGGAAATGACGCTACTCACCATAACGGACCAGACAGTATAAATCCCAAGTGGAGTAGAATAACATCGCTTCATTGGAGGCTGCACTGATGATGTTATCTAGCACGGTGACAAAACGAGAACAAGCCAGCTCGGCGAGCAAGTCAACATCTCACCCACAACCTGAGCTACACATCTTTGCCAAAACTTATTTGACAATCTTTCCAAGGAAAACATCCTTTCTCACTGTTTTCACCGATTTCTTCTTCAATATTGTGACCCACTCACTTCTATCCCCCATCTCATCTGAATATCTTGTCTCCTGGCATGTTGGCTGTCAATCCTGCTCATCTTTAAACCAAATCTTGGTCATAGCTATGGTATCATACTTCCTTGTGTCTATCTGTGCCCTTAGCTCGTTTATCTTTTTCCTCAGGCTCCTTGCATTAAAAATACTTTCCGTTTAGCTTTGCTGAACTCACGTTTTCTTATTGAGCCCATGTTTCCTCTGTCAGACTCACTTATTCGCTTTTTAACCTCTAGTTCCATCTCAGCTTTTCTCCCTTCTGAGCTACTTGTCAGCCTCTGAACTCTTTGCCCTATTTATAAAACCCAGCATATTCTTGGTTCAATTAACCACGCTCTCCACCTGTCCTGCCACCTTCAATGATTTACATATATATACATCTAGTTCCCAATGCATCTATTTTAGAATTGTATCCTTTATTTCATAGTTTCTGCATTCTTCTTACCAACATTAATCACTTCATACTTCCCTGCATTAAATTTCATCTGCCATTTGTCCACCCATTCCATCAAACTTTCTTCAAAGTTTTGTATAGTCTGCAAATGTTGAAACTGTCCTCCTTACACCAAGGTGTAGATTATTAATCTCATTATTAAGTGAAGTTGCAGCCGCCCGCTTACATTTTGTCGCCACTCTCGCAGGCTGTAATTGTACGCACCTGGATTTTGCACTCTGCCTCCACCAACTGCAGTTTGGTCTGGGCCAGCTCCAGCTCCATTTCCCTCAGTTGGTTCTTTAATAATGCTTTCTCTTTATCTTGATATTCATCTGAGGTATCCTTAGAAGTACTGAGAATTTTAAGTGTACCCTCTTTGTTGAACAGCTCTCTGCAGCGATCACAGCCTTCAACCTTTTGCTAAATCAAAAAAAACACAATTACTATCGCTGTAATAAAATCATTTCAAATAAGATAAAACACAATTATTGAGGCTTTGAGACAGAATTATTTTTATCATACTCTAATAATTCTACTTTCCACCTTGCTGTGATTTTAAATAAATGCTCTAGCTAGTACGTTATGTTATAATCCCAGCTAATGGCAATATTGGACAGAGTGAAATTGGTGTGATTGACTTTTTTTTGCTATTTGTTTACTATGGTGGTCCATCACTGAAAATATTCACAAGAGGCTGGCAATAAAATTTAACTGAAGAACACTAACTGTATTACACTATACAAGAAATATTTCAAATGTCTTATTACAAATACTAGAATTAAGGATTCAACTACAAACTCTCAACAACACCTTGCAGATACTCAAACCTCTGAGGGATCACCATTTCAAGTTTCCTGTTCAGTTGGCGCGATGAACAGGTTTCTGGAACTGCTTTCTTATTGACTTCTAACCACTTTCAAAGCAAACACAGGTTTTCCAAACCCTCACGCACCACTAGATTTTTCAGAATTCTCCCTCAGCTCTGACTTTTTATTTTAAAGAGACTGCTAAACAAACAGCACCTTTTTGCTCTGATGGAAGCTACACATACTGTCTAATCTTCTGGTTAGTTCTCTCTTTTGTATGTTACTAGACTCCTGTTGTTCAGCAACAGTTGTTTAAAAACCTATCCTACATTCAATGCACCAAACTGTTCACTTTAAGCTCTACTCAAATGCTCTACTTAAATCTTCATGTCTCACAAATCCTAGCATCATTCTCAGAATCTAAAATGAAACTAAATCCATACTGCCCCTTCTTAACACACACAAAGAAACACAAATCAAATTTACACAATACATGATCCTCCTACTTCAGAATCCAAGTTTCCAAACAGTAATGATAACATACATCTTCATTGCAGTTTTAACCATCTAGTATTGCACAGCTGCTAACACTGCATTACCCATTAAAATTAATGAAGTTGTATAGGAGAATATAAAGTCTATACAGTAGAAATTTTCTTAGTTGAATACAACTCACAAATGCCAAGAATCTCTCACACCATTTAATATTGTCAGACGTAAAAATCATTTATCATATTCTATAAAGTGATCTTTGTATTCTTAATTTAGTGAAATACAATTCTACTGAAAGTTTGTTTCATGCAATGGTTTCCCTTTATGAGATCCACTATTTTTGAGCAACAGTTTGACAAAAGAGACAAAGGAAAACCCTAGCCAATTACAGTAAACAGCACACTCACGCTACAGCTGGTGTTTTTTATGTTCATTCAAACACTGATTGAAAGAATCACTAATCCCAAAATGCAACACTTGTAGCTTCAGGCTGTAGGGCTGAAAGTCAACTTTCTTTTGAAGAAGGCAATCTTTTGTTTTTTTTTTAAAAAACTTCCATCAACATTCAGACAAAGGCATTAGTTTCACCTGAGAATATGATTCCAAGGGTTCCAATCACTCATTAGAATCTCAACTAACTGGGCATTACACTTAAGTGAATTTTGAATTTGATTATCAGCAGCTATTGGATTATGAAGACAGTCACTCCTGAACTCTCTCAGAGATAGTAAGAAATGCTGAAGCTGGAGTCAGACCCTTCTAAAGGGTCCTGCCCTGAAACATCAACTTTCCTGTTCCTCTGATGCTGCCTGGCCTGCTGTGTTCCTCCAGCTCCACACTCCTGAACTCTGTCTCATCTACACCAAATAAATACTCAGACAAACAGATTTCCAGTAATATCTCATCATCCACTCTGTCTCATCTACACCAAATAAATACTCAGACAAACAGATTTCCAGTAATATCTCATCATTCTCACTCTAATTCTGGGTCTGAAAGAAATCAAAATGCTTTTTGGCTTTTGTACGATTTAACTGTTCTCTGGGCAGACTCATCATTGGGAGTCACTGCTGAGGATTTGTGCCCACACTTTCCGCGACAAAATAACATGTAAACTCCTGTTGAGATGGCTCATTTACAAAGCTGTGTTGTCATTCATTCATGACTTTGCAAACCTTTTCATTATAACTCATTTTCCTCTTTGGTTTGATATTTGAATGAATTTATAGTTTTCAGAAATTATAGAAAATAAAGTTTTTTGGTCCTTAAAAACAACAGAAGTCAATGTCCCAGCCTATAATATTGTTGATGCATCACACAAAATAAAATCAAAGGAACAATCTTACATAATGGAGACTAAAAGGAGTATTACACAGTTTTTAAATAATGCTTATTTTACTCAAAACTTAGGCTTTAATACTTCTTAATTTAAGCACAGAAACATAAATTCCTTAATATCACTGCTCAAACAATAAAGTACATTTTAGGGTAAAATTTAATTTGTCTATAAACTTTCAAGACCATTTATAGTTTTTGAAAAGCGGTTTTCTATTGCAGAATAATTAACATAGGAAAACTGAACAGATAGTTCTTAACTTTATCTAATTACTTCATGAAGTTTAAGTGGTAATTTGATTGCAAAAGCAGTGCACCATTGAGTAAGATTGACATAAGAAATATGAAAAGATACAGTTTTCCAACTGCATTCTGGAAAGATAGTTCCAGATAGTCTTCCACAAGAGAGACCAATAAAGTACAGCTACACTTAGCAAGCATAACAAGAATCACATAAAATGGAACTAAGAAAATGTTTTGACATTTAATCTCTTTCATTTTTGCACATGAACTTGTATCTAAGACTTGTTTCACAACACTTATTCTTTTGATATCACTAATTCTATAGATAATAGATGCACAACTGAGCATTGGTAACTAAATCTGTTACACTTTTAGAGTTTAAATATTAACATGATCAGAGAGTTTCCATAATTTGCTAGCATTTTACATGCATCTACACTAATTTAAATTGGCTTTACTGACAACACTATATTTATTCATTTTTATTTCAAACCTTGGGCCTAAATTACATTTTTCTTCTCTTCATTTCCAAGTTCCCTTGCTAATGGCACAGTTTAAATTAGTTTGCCAAGGAATTATGGTTTCAAATCTATACATCACCATTTCATATTATTTATGACTAACAGGCAGTACTACAAACCACTTCTTTTAAATCTAAAAGAAAATCGTAAGTTGGTTCTTCTTGTTTTCATATCGTTAAACAAAATTAATCATGGATATCTGACCATTTGTTCATCAGAACTTAATTTGCACCTTGGCTATACTGGGTAGAGACTCACCCGAATTTGTTCCAACTCAGTTTTATTTCCCGACTGCTGCCTTTCCAACCTCTCACTCAGTTGGGAGCAGATCTGAAAAAGGATATTAAAGACTCAGGAAAACAAACATACTATAAATTGGTCAATGTCTACAATATACTGCATGCAAGATTAAAATCAATAGTCTAACAAACTACAGCAGATACTAGTTAATGAAAATACATTCTCAAAACTTCATTCAATTTACAGATAAGTATTCGATAAATTCAAACATTCAATGTTGAGACTGACAGAACTGAGAGAGAGAGACAGAGAGAGCGTGCAAGAGAGTGCGAAACAGAGAATACATTCGTGTGAGCCATGTAGTGGTTAGGACTTGCAAACACATAACTACATATAAACAGTTAGCCAAGCTAAAAAGGAATCAAAATTTTAAATGAGCAGTTTACAATGATAAATGTTCACAGAGAAACACAACCAAACATAAAAATAATATCATTAAAGATTTGGAGGTTGGAAGCAATGCTTAATAGAGGACTTTTTGATTGTAAACATTAGTTAAAAACCATATCATCCAAAAGGGTCAAGTTATATAAATGTATTCTATAGTTTATGCATCTCCTCATATCCCTTAGTTTTAAACTGTGCCAATATTTGAAATGATCTATGAAAAGTAAAAACTGAAAATGCTGCTTAAATAGAAACAATTTTGCATTCCCGTAGAAACAAAATATCCCATTTAGCACACAAATTACAATAGGGATTTAATCTTATCAAAAGCCAGCAAGTATTAACAGCCTGGATCTGTAAACACTTGGAGAAATCACAGACATTTGGATCACAAGAATGCCCGACAGTCGCAGATTAGCTCCTAAACTGCACCAGTACGTTCCAATGTGCTAACACACCAGTTTTCATGAAACGATTATGCAAGCTTAAAGAAGTACGCACAAATTAAGCAAAGGTTATCAAATCATTGGGCTGATAACTGCTTCTACATTTAAAAAAAAATCCCTTGTGGTGAGAGTTGCTTTGAAGACTTATCAGTCACTAACTCATCAGCTTTATTTAAGCAGTTTTAAGAAAGACCATGTGATAATTTAAAGGAAAGTTTCTCAGGATGAGGGTGACAGTGGAAAGGCCACATATGTTGCACATCCTTATCTATACTGAGGTGATGGTGCAGGACTTTCTTCTTGAAAGCCCTGAACTCTACATAAGCCACTTCTGAAACTACCGAGTGACATCTTGGTAATGTGGGCATTCAGTCATGTGTAGATCGAAGCAGGCTTCATTCCCTCAAGGTCAGTAGGGAATAGATGGGTTTTTACAATTATCCTTTCATAGTTATTTGTGTAATTCTAGGACACAATGTACCAGACAGCAAATAGACCAACGACAGAATGTAAACATAAAATCAGTGGATTAGAAGTCTAGTTTTGCTTTACTATATTATCAAACCCATTTAATATGGCACACTCTCACTGGTGGAGGGTGGTCCAAAGATAGCACAGAACTAAACGGTAAAATTTATTCTCCCATTAACTAAATCACAGAAACAGGTTGGAAGGAAATATACAACACAGATTGTTCTAACTTCCTAGATGAACAGCAGGGATGAGAAAAGCAAGACCAGTTAAAAGAAAACTGGACAGAAAAACAAAAACTTGTTCTGATGAAGATTATATACCCACAATATTAACCTCCCCTGATGCTGAAGGAACTGCTGTATAATTCTAGTTTTATATTTTGTATTTCAAGTTTTCACTATTTAGACATATATTTCAAAAAAAGATATTTTCATGGATGTTGAGAGAGAGATAGTAGGAACAGCCAATGCTGGAGAATCTGAGATAAGAAGGTGCAGAGCTGAATGAACACAGCAGGCCAAGCAGCATCAGAGGAGCAGGAAATCTGACATTTCGGGTCTGGACCCTTCTTCTTTCATGGATGTTGCAGGGTTTCTTTCAGACAGTACTCTGCATCTTCATTGGTTTCCAAGCAAAGCCTCTGAACAAACAACAATCATTGGCAAAATCTATTTCCATGATAAAAATAACCTTTTCAGACTTCAAACAAGGAATGATTGCAGTAAAATCCTTGCATCTTACAGACCTGCTTGTAATCCCCGATGATCGAACTGTTTTTCTTTATTTCCGATTCTGCTTTGTCGAGTTCTCTCCGGCACATCTCCTTCAGCTATGAAAGACAGAACCAGGGACAGAACTAAAAACCAGGATACAATTGATGTTTTGGTACAATTCTCAATTAAAAATATTTATGGACAGAGAAAACTGGTCGTATGCAACTTTACTGGCATTATGCAAAGTGGAATATCTGGACAACAGTAAGTACTGATAAAGTTTAGCAAAATTTTTAAAAATAGAACCAATTTGATTGAATCAAAGTTGAGAACTTCCAAAGGAACACTGGATTGCGTTTGGAAGTTTTACAGAATACTATCAAAAATGTGTGGACATTTAAAGATATATTTTAAAAAGGTACATAATCAATATTTTTTGAACAATAAAGGAATTAAGGGATACGGTGAGAACGCGGGTAAGTGGATCTGAG